TGCAGTATACATAATTTATCCCATCTTTCTCAGTCTCCACCCAACAAGATAAAGGTAAACAACCCAATTGAAAAATGGAATATGAAAACTGGACATGAAAAGACACTTCACCAAAGAAGACTTTCAGATGGCCAACAGACACCTATTTAAAATGACAACTCACCTCCAATCTGACTTCCCTTCCCTCACTCACCTGGAAATATATGACCTTGGATAATTTTCACTTTCAAATATTTTGATCCTTGGAGAGAGACATCATGCTGGAAAAGGTAAGATGGTCAGTGAAAGAAAGGAAGACCCTCAATGAGGTGAATTGACACAGTGACTATTACAATGCCTTTGACCTTGACAGAGATCATGAGCATTGGGCACGATAGGGCAAGGCTCACTTTTTTTATCCATAGGGTCACCATAAAGAGATTTAAGGGCACTCACCACCAACAAATCTAATATTTTGCATCTTTAACTTACTTCTTATCTTTATTTTTGTTACCTCTGTCTTCCATTAAAATCTGGGCAACTGGAGAGCAGTGAGCTCTGCTGCTCCTTTTTTTTATTCCATTGATTTATCTCAAGCTTATAGAACAGTACTCAACACACAGTGCTTGGCAAGTATTTGTTGAGGGCATGAATAAGGGCTCTGAAGAAAAGGAATCGAGCTGGTGTGATAGAGTAACCGCAGGATGGGTATGGCTGTGTGTGTGACCGTGAGTGCATTGGTGAGTGGGTGTCCAGCTCTTGCATATGTGTGGCTTTGTGTGTGTGGCTGTGCATATGAGTTTGTGCGTGTGCCTACCTGTGTGTGAGTACATGGGGATGTGCAAGATACATGTGTGGGCTTCACAGGCCAGAGGCAGGTAGGAGAGGTTTGGCTCCTGGCATATTGGGGGATTCATTAGGGATTCCAGAAACACCCAATGTATAACCACAACCCCCCAGTCCAAGAGAACCAATGTTAGTGGAGAGTCAGGGTCGGTGTGCTTTCCTTGATCCTCTTGCCTGTTAGACTGTAATGTTGTTGTGCACTGTTGTTGCATTGGAACCAGTCCATAGCTAACCATCCAGCTAGATTTCAGATGCAGTAAATCCTACAGGAGTGATTACCTATCCTTCTCCCAAGAGCCAAACCAGATTAATTGCCATCAAATTGAGTTTTACTCATGTTGAGCCATGTGCTACACAGAACTACCCCCTAGTGCTTTCTAGGCTCTGATCTTTATGGGACAGAATCTCCAAGGCCTTCTCCCACAGTGCTCCTGGGTGGATTCTAACCATTAACCTTTAGGTTTAATGTTGTTGTTATATGCTGTCGATTCGACTATATGACTCATAGTGATCCTATGCACAATAGCTCTGAAACTTGTCATATCCAGAGCCAATCTCACTGTCTCTGACACATCTGTTCCTATTATTGCAGTTACTGCGTCACTTCATCCCATCCAGGGTCTTCCTGTCTTGCACTGATCCTCTGACTCCCAAGCACGATGTTCTTCTCAAAGGACTGGCCCTTCTTGGCAATAAGCCCACAGTATATGAGATGGAGCTTCAGAATCCTTGCCTCCAAGGAGCAATCTGGTTTCACCCACTCCAGGACAGATCTGTTTGTTCTCTTGGCAGTCTGTGAAACGCAAACATGAATTTCTGCCATCCAAATAGAACTTGCACTGTCTTCAAATGCCAGCAAGCTAAAGGCATAAAGAACAGTAAATCATCACTTTTACAATTTGATGGTTTTTATTTTTTTTCTTAAAAGACTATGGAAACCTCAAGAAGATCTCTGCTGAAAACTGGCTGTGGCTGCCTAGTACTCCCTGAATCAACCCACCCTGAATCTGCAGTGTTGGGCTGAGACGGGTGGATGTTCTAAGAGCTCTGCCAGTGTCTGAGTTCCAGCGCTGTGAGATACTGGCCGTGTGAATTGCTTAACTGCGTTGTTCCCATCTGTAAACTGAGAGTGACAACACTCAGAGCTATATCATGACTCTCTTAGAGGGTGTTTTGTGAATGCGAGCTGTTCTTATGACAGCAGATCTCCATATCCCTTCGACCTCAATGCCTTTCTACACCTGCTGAATCCTTCACCCAGGAAACTTGTCCCCCATTGCAACCCAGCTCACTGTATTTCCTTAGGGAATACTGCCTCTGACTTCCTGAGTATCTCAGCCTCTATCAGTTCTCCCTCCCATCTATATTTTTCTTATTAACTTTAATGAAAGTTTACAGAGACTTAGGGTTTCCATTCATTCATTGTTGCACTTTTCTCCCTGATTACCCCCTCCCCCTGCAATTTGCTCTTCTCTTTGAAAAGTAAAAGAAAATTTCCCCCCCTCCCGCCCCCAAGTCTAGTCCATTATGCAGCCTTCATTCTGGACTTCTGTCATGACAATAATACCTAATCATACATCCCATTAAAACAGTTCTCTCCCTCATCTGTTCCAATGGAGTATACATTATTGAACCCATCTTCCTCAGTATTCCCTCAACCGCGATGTCAGTCCGGTTTTACAGCAGTGGCCCTATTCAGTATTTGTCCTTTTGTGACTGAGATATTTCACTCAGCATAATGTACTCCAGGGTCACCCATTTTGTATAATATTTCATAAGTCCTTGTTTTTCCAGTGCTGCATAATATTCCATCGTGTGAATATACCACAGCTTCTCTATCCATTTGTTTGTTGATGGGCACTTGGGTTGTTTCCAGACCTTTGCTATTGTGAACAAAGCTGCGATAAACATGAGCGTGCATATATCTGCTTGAGTGGCTCCCATCTATATTTTAAAAATGTTTTTTTCCTTCATGGCATTTCTCACTGTCATGTATTTATTTATTCTTTTTTATTATTCTTTGATGAATCATGTTCCCCTTTCTATAGGCTACAAGAGCCACCGGCATGAGGGCTCTGGGGTGAGAACTGGGTGGATTTTCGATCATCATTGCATTCCCAGAGCCTACTAGCATAGAGGAGGTGCTCAATTCATAGTTATTGTTGAGTGAATGGTGGGGATGAGGATTGAGTGAACAGATCTGGGTTATCCCTCAATTTCCATCTGCCTTGCTCTTACAGGAGCTTGAGTGGCCTAGTTCGTAGGAAACTGTGCTGCTCACCCAAAAGCTGAACTCCCTGGCAGTTCGAATCCAGCAACAACTCCTGGGGAATAAGATGAGTGATCGCCTTAGGGTTTCCTGCAAACCTGCTGGAGGGTAAGTTATGAGTTGGTTCTGACTCGATGACAGTGAAGTTTTTTTTTTCTGTATTTTAGGACCGATTGCGAAGACCATGGCCTGTATCAAACGCACCTTAGTCTCGACGCACATAACAACAACAACAACAACAACAACATTTTAGGACAGGCAGTATAAACCCCTTCTGCTCACCTTCAAGTGTCAAGGCCTTGACGGCATCAGGCCTGCATCCTCCCTGGGCAAGATGTAGTAGGCTAACATTAGAGAATGATGTAGGTGGTCGGAGAACTAGACATGAGGCAGAGAATAGTTTGAAAGGATTATTTATTTGATTTTCCCCCCATTAAAATAGTTATCTATACTTACTAAGAAAATCTAGAAAAAATCAAGAAGGAAAAATATTACTAATTATATTGTCTTCTTCCTGAATCCAGGAAAATGACTATAAAATTTTGGTCAATTTCCTTTCAATCTCTTTTATAACTACAAGTTTTCCCTTACTTTGTGGAATTATAGTTCTCTAATAAGTATATATGTTTATTTGGATTTCAAAAATGAATACAATAACAATGGAAGGATTTTTTTTTCTTCTCAAAGAGAAACACGAACTGGGTTTGGGGGAGGAGTGGGCAGGGAGGAAAATGTGCAACAATGAATGAATGGAAATCCAAGTTCTCTATAACCTTTCATTACAATCTCAAAAAAAATAATATACCTTATGCCTTTTCCAGGAAACAATACATTTCCCTTAAATATTTTAGTGGCTATATAACATGTTATTGAGTTAATCTACTACAATTTCATTAACTGATTCAAATTTCTCACACTTTTATAAACAATGGTATCAGACCCGAGTTATGCATTTTCAACTGTTTCATATGTTTGTGGAAACTGGACAATGAATATGAACAAAGAAGGTCACAGAATTCATGCCTTTGAATTGTGGTGTTGGTAAAGTGTATTAAACATATATTGCCTAGAGAAAAAAACCAAAATCTACCTTGAAGTAAATGCAACCAGCCTGATTTTTAGACATGAACATGAGAAAAGTTTGTCACACATACTTTGAATATATTATCAGGAAGCCCAGTTCTTGAATAGAGACATATTGGAAAAGTGGAGAGGGTCAGTAAAAGAAAGAAAGACCTTCAGCGAGATGGACTGAGCACAACAGTGGGCTTGCACCTGGCGGAGATTGTGAGGAAGCCGCAGGATGGGATGAAGTTTCAATCTGTGGCTCACAGGACTGCTCTGAGTATCAGTCAACTCAATGACACTTAACAATGCTGAAAATCTTTGTGCTCCAAGCATTTCACACCTGCTGAATCTTTTCATGATAGTGTTTTCCAAAGACAGAATTTCTGAGATGAAGGATATGACCAATTGTACGGCCGTTGGTCATCCTGTCACCCTGGGTGACATCACCAAATGGTTTTATCAAAAGGATCAAAGTATGATCTTCCCACCATCAGGGATTAAGATCACAAGTGGCCAGGAGTTATGGCGGTTTGTCCTTGGAAGGGACAGCAGGAAGGTCTTAAGCAGTAGACTAGTTGGAAAACATCCAGCGTGACTCCAGCTAGAAAAGGTGTCAAACATTTGCTAGACTAGATGTGGCCAGGCCTTCTGGGTCAGCAATTTTCTTCTACTTGTCTCCAGCATCATCCAGTGATTCTAGAGGTGTCCATTTGATAGCAGAAAGCCTTAATGTCTGTGTGGTCAAGAAGACGATGTTTCAAGTAGGGAGCCAACCAGGAATCCCACGAGTTCCTCTTGGAATGTTTAGAGAACTCTAGAGCTGTTCTGAGATTGTTCCTCATTTCCCCCACTCTTGACGTCTCAATACACTCCGTTGGATCTTTCCAGAAACCGTTTTGGGTAGTTCTGACACAAAGGCCACCTGGGGACCAAAGAATGAAAAAAATAATTTCTGAAAAGACCTCTGCCTTCATAGAATCACTGCGTCATTGGGAAGATTCCACAATGTGTGCCTTTCTCCAAATAATAATAGTTAAAACAGCTAGAATTTGGACAATATGACCTTTTGAACAGTAGTTAAGCATCAACCCCCTGAAACTGGTCGATTGGTCATTTCTTGGAAGAGCATAGTGCACTTTGGGAAGGGTCCAGAACGGAACTGAGAAAAAAAGCAAGGGTTTTCTCTATGTCCACCTCAGTGGGCAGCACAGGGCTGTGTACACAGATATTATTTCCCAGCTCTCACATTGTCTCACAATTGCTCCTAGAAGTTTACCTTCCTGGGATATTTATAGGGAGCCGTGACCCTTTTCACATGCTCCTGAAGTTCCTTGGTTAGTTTCTCTGGATCACAAGAAGAGTAAGCAGGAGAAAGGACTATAAATGCTTTTACCACCTACCGGGAAAAAGAAAAAAAAAGATCAGACCTTAGATGATGAAGCTTTTCTCTTTAAGCTAGTCTTGTGAATACAAGCAGACATTATTCAGTCCAATACGAGGGTTGTACCTGTGACTTGACAGCACTTAACAACACTAACATCAACATAGAGAGAGATCAGCTGGCCCAGTGGACAGAAAGTGATGCTACCAAGCCAAAGATGGGTGACTTTTAATCCGCAGCCCTCTGGCCTGCCTTTCATTGTTTTTGTTCAAACATTCCTCTAGGTCGCATAGCCCTGGTGTGTCCATTTGCCTAACAGCGGTAACTTGTTCTTGCTGTGAGGCTGAACACTGTGACACTGATGTGTCAAATGCATCTTGGTTACCCAATGCGGACAGTGTGGGGTGGAGCTCCCCGATTAAACAAAAGCTTGGAAGCAGGAGTGGCATCCACTTCTTCCGTAACAACTTGCCTCTGGAAACCCTATGAACCTGGAGAGAGGATGAAAGACACACAAGCGCTGAGGACTCTCCTTCATAGGGTCACTATGAATCGCCTGCGACTTGACGGGATCTAACAACAACAACACAACAACCTGCTCTTTGGGTCCAGTCAATGGGATGGACAATACTCCTTTCCACACACACACCCGCTAGATGGTGCAATGCTTTAAAGCATTTGATTGCTAACCTAAAGTTAAGAGTTCAAATTCCCAATCCCAGAGGTACACAGTTTGAATCCACCAGATGCTCCACTGGAGAAGGAGGGACAATCTCCTCCTGTACCAGTCAGATCTGATTTGACGGTACACACACAAAAATAATAAAATAAAATACAATAAAAAAGAGTTCAAATTCCATCAGTCACTTCAAGGGAGAAAGCTATTGCAGTCAGCTTCTATCAAGATTTAATGCTTTGGAAGCCCCGTGTGGCTGTTCTAGTCTGTTCTACAGAGTGACTGTGAGTTGGAATTGACTTGATGGTGGTGGGATTGGTTTTTGCCTTTCCAGGATCAGTGACCAGAATAGTCTCATTGTGTGGAATGAAATTGGATCCTTGACTCTTTTTACAAACTATTCCTTGGATCTGGAATGCTGCAATGAAAAGCCAACTTGCTTCTCTTAAAATGCAAATAATTTGGAGAGAGAAGCTTCACGAATGCCTTAGCCACCCAGCTTGCTCTCCATTAAAATCCCCCAAACAACAGCAAAACCCCACTCACTTATAGTAACTTTCCATTAAAAATTACTGAGGTGATACATCTTTATGGGGGGTCCTTCTTTCTTCCACAGAACGAATGGTGGACTAACTGTCAGCCCTCGGATTAGTAGCCTAATAGTTTATGCACGATGTCACCAGGACACACAGATTATTGCCATTTTGTCTGAGGAGGAAGCGTAGGTAGGCATGGAATTGGTGACAACAACAACAACAACAACAACATCAAGACAACAAACTTCAGACCACTCGCCATGGAAAGCAGGCACCATATAGACGAACGTGTACAAACAGTAAACATCAGATGGCAACACTTCTGTGTGGACACCTTGAAGGACAGTCTCCACCATGGCTCTCTCTACCTAGGTCTTTCTTGCAAACTGCTTCCTACCAAGGAGGGAGAAGAATCCCAAAGACAGTAACTACTGGATTTCTCCTAAGAACTCAACTCAACTCAACTCAACTCAACTCAACATGACTCAACTCAACTTATTTCCATTGAGCAGGAACAAACTTACAGCTATCAATTCCCTGGGAAGAGATTGCCCATCTTTCTCCTAAGGGGTTACAGGTGGATTCAAACCCCCAGAGAGGCAAAGCCCATGGGTTAGCAGTGCAACGCCCTCCCCACTAGGCCATCAGATCTCATTAGAACAGAAACATCCAAAAGACCACTTGGTCTCTCATTCTAATTCTTTTGTTTGTTTGTTTTTATTAATTTAGCTGGTTTATTTTTAATCTCAATGAACATCTACAGAGATTTTGGGATTCCATTCATTCATTGTTGCACCCTTCTCCCCGCACAAGCCCCTCCCCCCTCCCCCCCATTTGCTCCTCTCCTTGAAAAGCAAAAGAAAAACTCCCTCAGTGGTACACAATCCCCCCCGACACCTCCCCAA